ACACCCCATCCCCAAAATATGAAATCTGGTCAGTGCTTTAGAGTAAAGCTGCCCATACACCTTACAACCATCACACGACTTTCGTTGTGCGATGGTTGTAAGGTGATTAAAATTTCGTATGATCTGCCCATCTTGGTCAGGCAGATCGTATTTGCGATCATTGCAAGCCCTCCCTGCTGAGGGGAGGGCTTCTGATGATTGCAGTGCTGAGCGGGCAGTGTGCGCTTGCGGCATTCGTCTTCTGAGCAAGCCACCAACCTGCCAAAAATCGTACGATTTTCGACAGGTTTTCCAGCATGCTCGGAAGACGAAAGTCGTGCGTCCTTACAGTAGAAGCGGTCTCACGCTGCCCATACACCTGCCGATTATCGTACGATAATCGGCAGGTGTATGGGCACCTTTAGACTATTTCTTTGCTTTCCATTTCTTGTATATAAATCTAGCACTATATGTACTAGTTATGAATAGTTTATTAACATGCTTTGGAAGTAGCACAGAAACCAAGCCTACATTTAACCCTTTGTCTTTAAACATTAGATCTTATTTAGACAGCTTATCCATAGGCAATTATTTCTGGTTGTTTATCTGTTTCAGGTAAACCATGGCAAAGCAATAGCAGCTTGATAGATCTGTATAAATACATAATTGATGGTTGCTAGAGAGAATGACATTTCTTTTATTTTAGTCGCCACAAAGATGCTATTTTAGAATTAGTTACCCCCGCACAGCAATTAGCTGGAATGAGCCATACGCTGTTGTCTATCATTCACTATAATTCCTCAATTAAATTTATTCGTGCTTGTACATAGATGTAAAAAAATGCTTTTGTTTAGTGCATAAAATGGGTTTTGCTAAATGTTTGGGTGATTTATTGTGCAATTTGTCTTGCTTTTACTTTTTTGTTCTCACATTGCAATATTAAAACCTACTTGGCAGGGGTGGCAGGAGCTGTAGTTGGTTGTGCTGTACTGTGCTTTAGCTTTGTTTTACAGACTGGAGTAACATGCTTTATTGCAGTCAAAAAGCATCCGTCTGATATCCCCTTTCCCCCACATTCCTCACCATAAGTGCATATCAGTGTGCAAAATTAAGGCAGCTTTTGAATGATTAAGGACATGAATGCCTTCATGGGATCACCATAAACCTTATGGTTTCCCCTCTTGGATTCATTGTGCTTTGGTGTCAGAGATTTTCTATGAACCCTTGACACAAGTAGGTTTCTCATGGCTGCTTCAATATCTCTAAAGCAGTGGAGGTCAGCTTAGTAAATATAGTGGGCCTTTACTGTAGCCCCCCGACATGTTCAGAGGGCTGCACAACAAGATTTTATAGATTTTTGTTAAGTTAACATGTGGTAAAACATATCTTACTGTATGTTACCATAACACATGGTATCTGTGTACTGCTCTGTGCAGGCATTGCCATTGGCTTTCAATTACACCCTACCTCACTGTTACAGCAGTGGGCAACACACCAGCACTGTAGTGCACCACAATACACATACTGCAATAAAAAGGTCATGTCTGATTTTTAGTTTGTTAAGGTACCCTAAAATTTGTTAAAATTCTAAATGACATTGTGGTTTCTTACATACACACGTCACCCAGAAGATCTGACGTCTTAGGTGTGAGCCTAGGATAAATGGAGAAAGTTTCTTTTAATTGTAATAACCGTTTTATACTTTTTTTTTTCTCTTCATGGGGCGTCTGGATCTAGCCATTGGTGACCTGTTTGAGCCTCCCATGCTCTGTGACACTAAGGCCCCATTCACACAGGAAATCGGCCTGGCACGTACAGCTCCGGTGATTAGTACGCAGCCCCTGTCCTTCTCTATGGGACTAAGCGGCCATAAGCCCTCCTGTTAGCGTATGAGTATGCCCACCCGCACCAACGTGCACTTGAGGTGAGCGTAGAGGGGCGTATGGCCACGTAGTCCCATAGAGGAGAACAGGAGCTGTGTACTAATCACACGCAGCGCCTGTCCTTCCCGGGAACTGCCCGACACCGTCTTGGTGGTAGTAGCAAATATTCAAACGAGAACTTTGAAGGCCGAAGTGGAGAAGGGTTCCATGTGAACAGCAACGAGCTGTACGTGTCGGACGATTCCCGTGTGACTGCGGCCTAGAGATCACTTCTAATAGTAATCTACAACAGGCTGCAATCTGCTAGCAATAGAGGACTATAGCAGCTCAGCCCAAGCCTCCAATCTATCAATGTTCCACATTATGTTTACATTGCTAATACCAGCTCTCATATGGAACGCTCAGTAGCAGGATCAGAAGCCCAGGAGCTAATCAATTTAGCTCCTGGTGCTGGACCAAGGCTATCACTAAGGCCTGGTTCACACCTGGGCGTTTTGTAGCGCGTTCGAGTGCTCTGCAAAACGCTCAAACACCGAAATCTCATAATTTCCTATGGGTATGGTGCACACCTGGGCGTATTACAGGCCGTATCAAAACGCTACAAAACGCCCTACGCCCAAAGAAGGACAGGAGCTTATTTGGGGCGTTATTGTCGCGCGTTTTCATTGGGATACAGCCAAGTAGCCCTCGGAAACGTGCGTTTGTTGCACGTTTTTTTTACCGCGAATCGTGGTAAAAATGCGCGTCACGAAATGCGCATATTCGATACGCATAGGTGTGAACCAAGCCTAACAGAGCTAAAGCACATCAGAGCTGTACTCCAGACCAGATTAGAGGTCTAGAGCACAGTGAGATACACACAGAGTGTTGGTGTGGGCCTCTTGTTTAGACACCAAGGATAAGGGCTTGGAAAGCATCTGTAATAATAATACAATTTTCAGGGATTTAAAGAGAAACTATAGGTTTTTTTTCCATACACAAATAAAAGAATCAGTTTAAAAAGAGACCCTGTTGTCAGGCTATTTTAACAAAAACCTTCCAGTAAGATTATAGATACATTTAACGATTAATACCTGTTAATTTACCTATAAAAGACTATCTTGTGCAGACATCCAAACATCGTGAGACTTCTGCTTGGAGTCGCCATCTTAGATGTAATGTCAGCAGTACCAACAGACTCAGAGGTGTCACTCTATAGTATTCCCCTTCTCTTCTACCCCGGACACTACATACATTTTTTATAGGGAGGTGAGGAGATTTAGACACTTCCACAGGAGAGGGCTTTGATGTGCAAGGAAGGATGGGGTTGTGCTTGGGAACTGACTCTTCCTGGTGTAGCCAAATTTTTTTTGCAAGTTCAAAGCCAAATTGCAAATCATTTATTAAAAGAAAAAAGTACCACAAGTAAGCATATAAAACTTGATTTGTTTGTGCTTTTACCTGTAATTTTTTAAGTTATTGATAGGGTTTCTTTAACAAAACAACATCATTGTGCATCCCTGTATAAAATCCAAGTTTCAGTGTATTGTTTGAAGTCATAGATGTACATGGGGCCGCCATACTTAATTACATTAGCAGGCTCTGCATCCTGATTGTGCCTTGCTGATCCTCTTACTTCACTGAGTCTACCAGATATTCTACATTTCAATGAAAATCAATAGATCGTCTGCAGTCATTAATAACATGAAATAGTCATAACTCTTCAGGCAGCTAGTCATTTAGGTTGAGAGGGCTTTAGGTCACATAAAAAGCCCAAGAGCAGAACTTCCATTCACTGCAAGCAAGCATATACTTTTTTTTCTCAAAAAAATGAAATTATTGAATTAATTCGGTCTCTGCAATACTTCAGACAATGTGGTGTCAAACATGTTAACATCTTCCCACTTGACACTCTCATTTGGAACTATTTCAGCAGCTGAACAGCCCTGGATATTGCAAAGCATCAACAAAATTAAAGTATAGATAAGAATGTAATATGGATAAATTATGGATTTATTAAAAGCACTCAGTTTTCTCTTTTTTTGCTGCTTTCTTGACAACAGGAAGTGACAGGAAATCTGTACAAAGCAAGGGGAAATGCCTTTTTTAGATGGTTGTCAACAGAATAGGTGTTCTTATTGAAAAAGTTCACTTCTATTTCTGATCCGGTGACCATTTGGGTATTTCATTACTTTCTGTCCTGATGACCACTAACAAATAGGAGGTCACCAGGACAAACAAAGAACAAAACAAAGAACAAAGACAGCAATAATAACTTTCAGAGGTTCAAACTCCTCCCTGCCAAACAAACCAATTTGGATACACTTTAAGACTCCCACACATTTGTATTGTGACACTAGCTCAACTTATGTTAAGAAAATACTTCAAGCACATATTGAATGTCCACTTTTTTTTTTTTGATAGATTCGAATAGAGTGGCAGTATGGCCTCCTATGGGAAATTTCTCCTCACTCCTAGTCTAACAGGTATCGGAGTGAGAAATGGTTAAAAACCGGTGTACCCAAATCTCCTTACACTCCCTCTCCAAGGGACAGCTGAGAAGCAGAACAGGAAGTAAGAGCAATCTGGCAAGACAACATTTAAAACTGGAAATTATTTTATTCCTTTTCCACTCCAAACCTTTTTTTTTTTTAAGTTAGATTTTTAAAGCAGACTTCACCCCCCTCTTTAATTTGCAATTTAAAAAAAACCTGACATTTTCGTCCATTTCCTTTTTTACTTTTTGGTCGCGCCTGCCCTCAGCCATTCTTGCCTAGGCAACATGTCCCTGCTCCTGCAGTATCTCAGGAGCAGGGACTCACAGAGGCCAATGGTCAGACTTCATTGAAGTATGGGCTGCAGAGCCTGGAAAAGACAGTTGACTCCTGATGACATCAGAGAAGAAAATGGTGGTGTAGCACCTGGGCTGTGGCAGCAGATTATAACAGGACAATGCTGGGTTCGCTGGGCAGAGGGAGTATGTTTTCCAGTGAGAACCCAGCATAACAGGTAAGAGGTAATAGGTTAAGAAAGAAAAAAAAAAAAATCAGGTGAAGTTCCTCTGAGCATGCACCAAAAACCTAAAATACGGCACAAATGTATCTACACTACTCATGGCGGAATTGATTGGCTGAACATGCTTCATATTGTTTGTTTTAGTTGATTTTGGAGTGAGTGCCCAGCTGGACAGAACTATAGGAAGAAGAAACACATTTATTGGAACCCCATACTGGATGGCACCAGAGGTCATAGCATGTGATGAAAATCCAGATTCAACATATGACTACCGAGTGAGTTTTTTTTGTTCTCTTTAAACAAGTTCTACAAAAGGAAGCACGTTGGGTTCATGTAGAAATCGTGTCATTAGTCATCCTCTCTTCAGATAAACAAGGGGCTAACCAGACTTTCCTAAAGGAAGTATGCTGACTGTGTAAAAATCACTTCCTAATAGGTTGTTGAGAACGAGTTGTTGTTGAAATGCTTTCTATACCCCTGGGGAGATAGGATTTCCAGCTGTAAATACAGAGGAGTATTGTGCTGCTTATTGTGACATTCATTGCATTAAAAGCTTAGCATTTTGTAATCCACCCTTGCACTACAACCATAGGGGTTCACTTATGTGAAAAGAATGTTATCGATAATATTATTGCAGCTGACTATTCGTCACTGTGGAGCTCGCTTCCTGTAAATCAGTGACGCTGTATGTATGTACGCTGACGCTGACGCTGGTGTATGTATTAGACACAAAATGAGTGCAAGTTAGGAGTTTGCTAACAGAACAAAGCACACAAAATATAAAGGGATCATCTCAAAGCACACGAAACAGACATTTAATGCCTAAGATACTAAAGGAGAACTCTAGTTCCTAAGAATAAAAACCTGTGCACTTACCCTTTTTTATTTTTAACTTTGTGCTGCAAAATGCCTGTGGTGACTGTTACAGATCCATATGCAGCAAGCATATACATACAGTATTTGGTGAAGCATGAGCTGCTGTTAGGACTGCCTTTTCTGCAACTGCATTGCACCTCCACAGCACTGTCGCAGGCGTGCTGAAGAAGCAAATGAGCCAAAAAGTGATACTAGTCATTTGACTGCTAAAGTGATCCAGACAGTACTGCAATTCTGCTAGTCAGAAGTTTTAGTTTACTTTAACCTGAGCGTCATGTAAACGAGCCAGATTCCAGAGAGCTACTCGCATATAGGCTGGCTGGTCTGCTTTTTGAAGTCTGTCCTGTACAACTAAAGGTCTGTATCAACAAGCTTTTGTTTCCACTGGAACTGCATCTCCCCCATACAAGTACATGGGAATGAAAAGCTGGTGAAAAGGAGGTCAACTGCAGGTCAGAGTCACCTGCAATGAATGTTAAATGATCTCAGAATCATCCCAAATGGATGTCAAAAGTATGCTGATTTGCCTATCAACAAGCCCAAAGCCCAACGTCACACTTTTCTTACAGTCGTTGCTTGATCTTAAACCAGATTAAGGGCCTGTGTGGAAGAGCTTTTGTTCATGTCACAACTGCTTATTTCCACCTCATACAGGTCCGTGGGAGTGCAAAAGAAGATAATGTTGGTAAAAAGCAGATTAATGTTCATCTCAAACTGATGTCAAAAGCACGCAGCATCAAACCCCGTCGACACATGCCCCTAAACTTCAGGACAGCCAAGAATTTGATAAGTGGCCACAAGAAACATTTTAGTACCGACACTTTGATAGCTCAGGCTTTCTATGTGTGACAAGTAAGAGCATGCATTGGGTGCAATGATGACAAGCAGAAGGGCTTCCCAAACCATAAAAAAGCATCATCAGGATGGTCTGGTCCTGTCAGAAAGGAAAACCAAGGCCCCAAGAGGTAGTCTGTGTCCCATGTGTGAATTTTATTTTACAATTTAAATTATCTGAAATAATGCAGAAAATGTTAAAAACGTTTTTCACATTTTCAGAAAAACATGACCAAAAAAAAGTTTTGAACATGATTACAGAAATATGTTAAAAGCAAAATCCTAATTTTATTGTTTAATTTACATAATGTGGCATGTGGGCCTTTGGATGGTATTCCCATGTTAGGGGTCATCAAAGCTTTCCCCATGCATAGGAATCACATGCACAGTCTTCATCTCTGCTGCACATGCAGGAGGGAGAGACAGAACAGGCTCTGTACAGCTCTGCAGCCATAAAAACAGCTACTCCCATTTCTGTGCATGGGTTTTTAAACCAAAAGGCATCCTCCTGTTTGTGCGATTATCTATATACTATAACAAATGTTCTATTTTACTGATTCCACAGAGTGATCTCTGGTCTTTGGGAATTACAGCCATTGAGATGGCAGAAGGGTCACCACGTAAGTAAAAAATGAAATACAACTTCAAAATATTTTCTATAGCAACTAAAAACTTTGTACGTTCAAAACAAAGCATTCATTATTCTTGAAGCGACTATTTATTTCCCACTAGAGGTGCCAGGACATACCTGTAACAGCTTTCAGTATCTTCTGCTTAGCCTGCATGCTAAGACAGGATCACCCTATCTGGAAGCTACTATAAGCACCGTTAGATGAGACTACACACAAATCTGGGAAGAAGACTAGTCCAACTGAATTACATTTTCCTGAGCAGTTCCTATTCTGCTTGGATGAGTATGGCTTCGCATTTGACTATTTATCATGTAGAATGACACATTTCGCTTTTGCATTCAGACACCATGCACACAGGAAGTCAAATACATGCTTCTAGGTGCATTCGGAGCTCATTTCTAAAACGCATCTAAAGCATGTAGAGCTTTTCTATGGATAAATGCACACCTAGAGGTTAAACAGCATCTAGGTGCATTCAGTCTAGCTGCTTTTGCACAAGCAATTATCGGTCTCATGAACATGGCTAAACCCAGGAACATCTAAACACAGGAAAAAAAGGGACCTGGGAAGAACAAAAGTTGTTTATACTTCCCAGATAACTTATCATGTGTTTAACGCAGGAGGCTCATGTGCATAGGGCCTTGAGGAGAAACTTCATTCAACAATACACTGTTTGCACAATCAGGGCCTAAAGAAACAATGGCACTTAGGGCTTACATGTAGCATCTATTTCTCTGTTGTCATTAAATATATAATACAGGTTCCAATCTCAATTGAGGACTGCAGAGCAGGTGATGCTTCTGCAAATGGAAGTAGCAATGGAAATCAGTAAGGCCCATCTGTAACGAGCTCTGCCCACCATAGACCCTGCAGAGCCCACCACAGATCCTGCAAAGCCCCCCTGAGACCCGGCAAAGCCCCACACAGATTCTGCACAGAATCTGTGGTGGGCTTTGCAGGCTGCAGAGCCCCCTAAGGGTCCTGCAGAGCCCGCCAAAGGGTATAGCACAGCCCACCTAAGACTCTTTGGTGGGCTGCGCAGAATATATGCTGGGCTCTGCCAGCACAGTCCTCTTACCTGGCACGGGAAACCCAGCCTCCTCCACTGCCCGACCACTTCGGAACACAGCCTCCTTATCCTCGGCGCCCAATAGTCGCATCTTCGCTGCCCGACTGGAGCTCCAGCGACGACGCCCGCCTCCTCCGTCGTTGTCCCTGCCCCCTGCCTCCTCCGTCTTCCCCACCTTTTACATCTCCGCCCCCATCTCCTCTGTCTCTGCCCCTTGCCTCCTACTGCTCTATCCCCCGTCTCCTCCATCACCTGCCGATTCCACCCCATTCACATTAGTCAGACAGGCTGCCGGTTTCTGTGCAGCCCTTCTGCCTTAATGTTTTGGGTGGCAGCATTTATGCCGCCCCCCCGGAATCTGCTGTCTGAGGCAAACGCCTTCTTTGCCTCACAGCAGATACGCCCCTGCCTGCAGCCACAACAGATCTGTAGATTGCCAATGTCTGTTCTAATTTTATCAATCTGGAGAAAATGTACATATTACACATGCAAATAAAAGATATATGAAACATTGAACCATTTCTTTATGCACTGGAAAGAAATAAGTGAATAATTAGACAGTACAAGTACATCTTGATCAGACTATGTGATAAGATTTTATTTTCCCGACAAGCAAGTCTCTGGCAGTTAAGTAATGTATGTTTCAGCATTTAAATTACAAAAAGGGACAATCTAGCAAGCTGTCGTTAGAATGGTCCTGGGAGATAATTCTTAAATGTCAAAACATTTAATCCAAACATTTTCCATTTGAACAAAATCGTGACATTTCTAAAATGTCCTTCTGGGATAGCCAACGCTGTGCAAACTGTTGATGCAAAGAAGGGATTTTATGGTTTAAAAAATAAGCTTTATGTGTGTAACTAGGAAATCTTAAATGGTGTCATCATCATTTTTTTTAAAGGTATTAGTGTGGTTTATTTTAAATAAATGCTATGGTTTTGTTGATTACATCTATTCCTCAAAGTCAATCAAGCCAGGCAAGCATCTGCTTTTTCCTAATGCCCAAGTTTTTGCTTGTAAATTGTCAAGTTCACATGAGCTGATATTTCAGGTGGAACCTGCTTGGTCATGTCACCCAGTCTTTCATATTCCTTAGCTCTATCCCTACCCACTTTGGAGCTTAAATAAAATTTCCCAGCATACTGAACACTGTAAAAATCAGTTTTGGGTGGGCCAACCCTTTAATGCTAGACTCCACATTCTTGTTATGACTGATACCTACTGCTATACTCCTTGGAGGGCAGAGTACAGTGATATACCTGTAGGTCACAAGCTCTCATTTTTCTAACTGTTGACCAGAGATGTCAGTGAATAACACTGATACTGAATATTCTGCATGTGACTGGAGAAGGGTGCATACATGTGACCAATATCACTGCATTCTGTCACCTGTTACAAAGGTGCTATAGCTAAAGGACCTCAAAATGCATTTTACACTTGTGACTTACTGTATGCAGTGCAGGTAGATGAAAGCATAGATGAGATGGGAGGAAGACCCAAGCCTGGAGTAGCAGCCTGTATCTTTCTCAATTTTGAAGGTACTTTTCTTTCCCGTAGAAGCCTGCAAGAAGGATGTCATATTTTACTACACTGAGGTTACATTAAAACAGACATATACTTAAAATACAAATACTTTGAAGAATAACAGTACTTTAAAAACATAAAATCCTAAAACCAGTACTCTGCAATGGAAGTAGTATTGTACTCCCCACCTCCAGCAATCCATATTTTCTATCTATCTGTTAAAGCACTGAAGCTTCTGTCAGTCTCTTCAGCATTTAAGATGTCTGGAAATTTGAATGCCTGTGTCCATCATCCTGCATTGTGGTTCCATCCCATCTTTGGCCTCTACTTCACTACAAAATTTAGCAGTTGCACAGGGGATAGAGAAATGAGCCACAGTATGTGACAAAGGACACATGCATCCACAAATATACTCTCATAACATTCAAATGCTAGAGACAGATATAGGCCTCAGTGCTGGAAGGTTGAAGATACGGGCTGCCGGAGAGGAGAGAATTATATTTATCGTATTGCAGGAAACTGGCTAATATCTCCTTATGTCCTTTAAGTTAACATTACAGCCATGTATAAAGGTTGGACAGAAGTAGATTTCATATAAAATAGACACCAGACCCCTTGCTAGTTCATTAGTCTAGAACAGTGGTCCCCAAACCCCGGGCCGCGGATCAAAGGGTACCGCGCCGCCCAAGGAACGTGTGCGACTTTCCATGGACGAGAGGTTTAAGGCCGTGACACACTGCAGGCGAAGCAGCGCGGCGCACATGCGAGCGGCGACTCGCGGTCCTTCGCCTGCAGTGTGTCCAGTGAGTTCCGATCCCCCGCTCTGCCCGGCGACAGCGTGCGTAGCGCAGTGTCGTGAAATGAAAAAGTTCATCTCCAGCCAATCACAGCGCACGATGCAATGAAGGCATCACAAAGCGGCAACACGCGACCAGCCAATCAGATCACTCAGTTCTGAGTGATCAGTATCTGCCTGTGTCTGTATTTGCCTGTTTGCAAATGCGTCTTGTCAGTCCAAGGGAGAAGTGTCTGTGGTATGTTCATACAGCCTAGTGCTATCCTATCCAGCACTCAGGCACTTTTAGCAAAAAATAAAGACATTTATCTACATTGAATTATAAAATGAAATATATTATATATTACATGATATGCTTAATTATTTATTTTATTAATATTAAACGATAAAAAGGTTGAGGAGGACTGGTCTAGAACATACAGTTCCCCGTCAATCTAGCAGTTTAAGCAGGATTTCACTTGCAGAGGGGGCAGGCAATTATGGGATGAGTCTCTGCAACATAATAGCCATAATAAAGAGGTAGATTGGGCTGGAGAGGAGTTATCTAGCCTGATTTCCTGTGAACTTATTTACCCTTCCCGAATTACAGTATAATATTTGATAATGTAATTTTTTTGTCAAAGTTCCATATATCACATGCACACATGAAATGTAATTTTTGTTTTCCAGCTTTATGCGACATGCATCCTATGAGGGCTCTCTTCCTAATTCCTCGAAACGCCCCTCCAAAGCTAAAATCAAGGAAATGGTATGTGCATTACATATGACATTTGTTTAGCCTGAGACATGAAAATGACTAAGCCACTGAAGAGTTAATGCAGTAGGCCCCTGTCACTTATATTTTCTGTACATGGTACTCTAGAGCCTGGATGAACGTGGCAGACAACCCGAATCAGGCTGGGATAAAATGGTTTAATGTGCTTACTCAAATGCTGATGTGTCCAACAGAAAAGATGAATTAATAATCATACAGATGGTTAGTTAAGAGCAATTTATTGCTTTCCGGGGCCTTCAATTTCTTCTTGTCTGCTGCCATGTCGCAGGAATAGTAAGAATAATTGGATTTATTACAGGGCACCGCAGCAGGGGAAAGCACATGTTCTACAGGTAGTTAAATGCAACTAAAGACTGCTTTAGAATTCCTGCACTGGAGGAATTTAAGTAATGGGACTGCATTTAAATGAATGCTCGCATATTGAAAATCATTATCATGCTGTATTTGAATTTTCAACACTATTGAAAAGCCAAAACATTCTATGCAGGATAAACTGAATGTAACAAAGAACGTTCAACATATTTTTCGCAGTAACCAATAAGATGTCACTTTTTGGTGCGGGTTAGAAAATTTAAATTAACATCTGCCTGTGTGTTATAGACCACATCCCTATTTTCCTTTGCTTCAGCTATAGTGAATCCGCCACAGACTATACATAGCTCTATTTGGGGTCCTCTTTATTTTATGGTACTAGTGTATGTGCATACATGAGATGCAGAAAATGTTTGCAGGCTTAAAACCAGGCAGGTCAGTACTTTGCAAAAAATACTGCATAAAAGGATAAAGAGCCCCTTGCAATCCTTTGCATGCTAGGAATGGTAGAATTGAGAATCTATGCCTTGTATTCAAAATAAAAACCAGACCTGGGTTCCTCCACAATTGTAGGTATATTGTATTTATTAATGGCAAGCTACAGCATCCAATACTTACCTCCGGTACCGGAATTTCTGGTCAGAGGGAGATCTCCAGAGGGAGTGTAGAGGGAGCATGGAGCCGGCTTCATTTCCAATCAGGAAACCAGGGCGGTGGGTTATGACCCTCCTCCCGGCTTCCTGATTGACTAAGAAGCAGGCTACATTTGTTGCTAGGCAGCCTGGCTTCCTAACCAATCAGGAAGCTGGGCAGCACGTTATGACTCACGTCCCGGCTTCCTGATTGGTCAGGAAGCCACGCTACCTAGCAACAAGTGATGCCAGCTTCCTAGCCAATCAGGAAGCCGGGGAGGTAGGTCATGACGTGCCGTCCGGAGCTTAAGATATTTTTTAGATATATGGTTAGATTTTTTTCTTCCCTCATTATTTATAATTAACAATTTTCTGGTAACATTTGAATTATCTAAGATACTATGGGGGACATTTATCAAAACTGGAGCACACAAAATGTGGAGCAGTTGCCCGTTTCAACCAATCAGCTTCTCTCTTCAGTTTGTTCAGTTAAGATTTGAAAATGAAAGAGAAGCTGAATGGTTGCCATGATTTTGTCTGCTCCCGTTTTGATAAATTCCCCTTAATGTATTTGTATTACTTGTTTCCTAATTATGTGCTAATTGTATGTTTTACATTTGTGCTAAATGGATTTTGATATTCAGGGTGAAGGTGTTAAAAGTATGAAGGAGAGAGTAAATGGCTTTTAGTTAAAGCTGTAGGGGTTAGGCTTGTGGTGAGGGACAAGGGCAGCCATTCAACAACATCAGGCTATAAAAGACAATACTGTAAGTTTGCATTGTCACCAGTAGGGCTTGTTCAAACTATCCCCAGACCAGTGTGTTTTTTTTTTTAACTGCACCAAAAAAATGTATATCATTCCAATTGTTTTAAATGAGCTTAGTTCAATACACTGTGTTCAGTCCCATAGCAAAAAAAAGAATGTACTGGAATGTGCTTAAAACCAAGACCAATAAAAATAAAAAAATAAAAACCACACACAAACGCCTTACACACACACGCATAAAAGCATATGCAGAAACGCATCCAGAACCAGTCTGGAGATTGTGTGAACAAGCCCTTTCACCAGGTGAAAATAAAGAAAAACAGCCTGAAAAAGGAAAAGATTGCATTTGCCATATCGAAGAATTGATAAGCTGCAGTAATATTTGTTTGTTTTTGGGTTTAGATACCCTTTAATGGCATCCCTGGTTTTTCGGGTTTAGATACCCTTACATGGCATCCCTGGTTCACTTCAAGTAGGGGGTGCATGAGTTGTAAACATTCACATGGTTCTGAGCAAGACTAGTTCTCTGACATGTTCAACTTTATTTCAGTTCAGTAATAATTCAGAGCCTAGATATTATGATCACGTGATCTTACTTGAAAGTAATAGGAAGATGCTTGGAAAATAGCCAGGAGAAATCTGTGCAGCTTCCACAAACAACACTTACCGCAAATATGCAAGTCCAGCACTGGGCTTTCAAACAGATCCACTGGAAAAACTGTCAGGTGGACCTGATGGGGATGACTTACTGAGGAAGCCAATTAGTATTTTTCAGTTGCTCTTCTAATAAGGGTAAAGGGGTCAGCAGTGTGGCATTGGTGCTGCTCTCAAATGTGTGTACTAAAATAAAAAACCAAGCATTGTTTCCCCACTCGAGATTTTAAATTTGCACAAACCAATGATGAGCAAACATTGTGCTCACATTATTTCTTCAATTAAATCAGCTCCTTGCCTTTACAAACTTTTATGCTTTGCTTTTATTTTTCATACAGGTCAAAGAAATTTCTAAATTTTCTTGATAATTGCCTCATTAAGAACTACACACATCGCCCTACAACAGAAACGCTGCTGAAACATTCTTTTGTTAGGGATCTACAAAATGAGCGTCAGATACGCATTATGCTGAAAGACCATCTTGACAGGACCAGGAAAAAGAGGGAAAAAGGTAGATGTTAATCCATCAGGTGCTGTTTACTAATTATTTGAATTTAAAAACTACTTCATGTTTTATCATCAAGATATTTAATGCTAAACAAGGCATTTATAAGGCTCTAAAGGACCCGGGGCACCCCTAGGCAGCTAGATAGAAATGCTGTGTGGTTTGTAGCATCAGGGAAAGTGGATATGACTAATTCTTGCCCCCCCAAGAGTTAGTCATACTTTGCAGTCTTCCTAACCTTTGGTCTTTCCCATTTCCTGCCATTTGTGCTCTGACTGTTTTTTGGCAGGGCACTCAACAGGTCTCGCATAATTACTCTACAAGGCCACTGCTTTCATGTTATATTCTATATTCCTGATTAGACTATATAAAAATTAGCTGGTACTTGAAAATGCTTTTTATTGGTATTATAAGACCAATTTATTTCTGGAAATAAACAAAATCAGTCAACCAGTGTCGAAGAGAGTGATGAAGATATTCTTATGTGGTCCTGAAATGTACCATTCTCTTCTGTGGCAAAATGCTCCTCCCACACTTTATCCCGGTTTGTTGGTTACAATCGTGGACCTTGGAATTGTTAAACAATGGAACCTTTAATTTATTTGCCTCTTTAGCAACCACTTAGAATTGTTTCTGTACACTATGGAGCATGCTGAAAACCTTTAAGCTTGCTACTTTAAGGGTAACACTAATGACATAGTGACTGAATATCCAAGGCATAATAGCAAGGAATTGACTCTGCTCACCACATATAACAAAGACATCACATTTGGGTGGACTGGCATTTTATCCCATATAGTACCTGCCAGCAGCAATGCCTGACTTGGAGAGGTTGCTATCAAAAACATAACATTTATATGTAATGTTAATTCACACTTATGTGTTTTACAAAGAATAATAATAATAATATATATATATTTTATTTTTTTTCCAGTTTAAAAAGGTGCTTATACTGTATTGAACCATTTGGCCAATTCTACCAATCATAAATTTAACTACATTATATTGCTGAATATTGATCACTTTTGGCCACTGGTTTCAGACAGTATATTTGGCAATTTAAGCATAAAAGCTTTGTTGCTTCTTGACCAAAGTTCCTTTGAGAAAACTTTGTCAGGCTCTGAATGACAAACGGATTTACTCGGAAATGTCCTTCTCCTACATCATTTCACTTCTAACCCATTCAATGTCCAGAGATGATGATACAGATTGCTATACCCACCTATGCTGCATCATCCCCTTTGTTTTTTCAGATGAAACAGGATACGAATACAGTGGAAGTGAAGAGGAAGATGAGGAGATGAATGAAGAGGAAGGCGAGCCAAGGTAATTAAGCCCAAAGTCCTATTTCACTGTAAAAAGTGAACACTCATAACCGTAGGACAAAAGAGCTCTACTAAAGAGCAACACAAAAGATAATTTCAGGTAAATCGCAAAGGAGTTATTCTGCCTGCCAAGGATATAAACTATGGCACACAAGATAAAGGACTCTGCTACTGTACAAGCAGTATATTGCCTGTCAAAGTCAGAGGAGATTACAAAGTTACTTTAGAAGCTTAACTGGACTCTTTTATCAGAGAATTTTACAATATTCCATTACATATAGCATTAGAATGGATTTCTCTGCATAGCATGCCATCTTGCACCAGGTTGTGCTAGAAACAGATTAAGGAACTTGCTTTTCTTTTTAGATAAAAATACCAAACTAGTTTGTAGTACATTTTAAAATGGTTTTGACCTCACTGTAACTTGACCATCTCTGCCTGATGTGAATTGGCCTGTTCCAACTTCCTAATTAAGGTTGCATTCATACTAGGTGTGATTAGAGGCGTTAAAAACGTTTTTCTAAATTCATATATATGCATCTAATGATTTCCAATGGATCTAGTCACACCTTGCATTTAAATGTGCTAATCTTCCATCAGTTTAGCTGTGTTTGAAAAAAAATAGAAGTCAGGTGCATCCAGAAATTGATTCAAACTTAAATTTGAATGCACATAAATGCGAGACACGTTTATTTGCTGAAATCTCATTGGCTACTTCAATGGCCGGTTTCACTGGACAATGGACAGATGCATCTAAAATGCATATGCATATAAACAGATCATTTTAAGCATCTAGAAGCATAAACAAAGCATCTAGCCTGACAGATCTTGCAAACAGATATCTGCAAAAAAAAAAATGGAAGTGGCAAGTGCAAATTAAGCCATAGGCTATTAAGTTTGCGGAAGCACGAATAATTAACAATTGCCATGTTAGTTAATAATGCTGTTTTCACGTTTTTCATCCTTTGTTACATCACAGTGCCTTTGTAGTCACATCTCAGCTACATGCAATACAGTGCTGGCAGTGACTGATCACTGTTATTTTAAGCTTTGTACTCACATCTCAGCTATATGCAATATAGTGCTGGTTGCATGAAAGGGCATGTTTTTTGGTGGCAACAGTGGGCCATGCCCGTGTAGTGCTTAAAGAGCCATTTGTAGACGCTATTGGAAATCTGGGAAAGGGTTGATAGTGCGGTAGCACATCAGGGACACAGTGTTGTGAACTGACAGTGCCCGATCACGGTTGTTTTAAGCTGCATATTTAGAATAATTGAAAACTACTTTTGAAATTACATCAACATGGTAAAGCTTAGATGAGATTATTGGTTGGGTTTACTTTCAGTGATGCTGAATGGTGTTGCCTGCTCATACTATATCTGATAAACAGAAGTTACAAAAAAGCTGCTTAAAAACTTAGGAGTTGAACAGTCTATTTCCTAGGTATCAGCTTCAGCTTTTGGAAATTAATGAAAGCAATGGTATTCCAAGGTTGGAGCTGCTTTGTCTGAAAAAAACAAACATTTTTTTTTCCTAAAAGCAAAAGCAGTATTATATGGCGATCTGTGATGGGACAACCACCATCACCGTCAGCACTGGCAAGCAAAAAAACAGGGCATGTTCAGAAGTTAACACTTTATTGGCCTGTGTACAATAGTCACATGCAGTGCAGGGGTAGCCCCACTGCAAGGGTTAATAAAAATTTTACCCAGAGTTCTGCTTTAAAGTGAATGGCATTTAGGCTGAGCACAAGCAAGGGACGAATTGCAGAAATGAGAAGATACTGAGGAGGATGTGTTGCAGGGCAGGGCATGCAGCAGATTGGCAGAAAGCTGCACCTTAAGTAAATATATTATATTACAAAAATGCTACAGTTGGGAGCAAAACTTCAAAAGAATAGGTGCATATAACTTTAACGTCATGCTGGGGTGAAAAAGTAAAGTGCAAGGAGGGCCGAAATATACCTTAACAAAATGGTTAGACTCTCTTTAATGCTGTTTGTGTTAAAAAGAAAAAGCATTTGTTTTTGTGTTTTATATTGTAGCAGCCAATGTAAACTCCAATCCTTACCTTTATCGGGTCACATGACTAAATGAAACCAGAATATGGAAATATACAGTATTAATAAATGCCTTCCCTTCAGTAATGGTTTCCACTGATCAGGTACCAGTCAAAATGGCTCCTGATCATGTGACCATTATGATATAGTAATCCCCTTTAGGCTGGAGGCTTCACTGATAAAAGTGAAACCCTTCATCATGCAAATGAACACTGACACTTTCAGGCTGCAGTGTTCATCTGACAAACGCACCATTGTGTAGCACTGCAAACCGGGAAGCAGAACTTGGCTATGCAATAAGTAGATATAGCTGTCCTCATTCTCTTTAAGTACTAATCAGCTTGGCTATAGAGCGATTATGTAAATACTGGCATGTGGCCAGGTGGTCGCATTCTCACCAAGAAAAGTCACTCTTCTTTCTAAAATCTGAGCTATTTGCTGGAAGAATAAATTTCACAACTTGTTTTTTCACCACATTTGTAGTGTCTAAAAAAAGAATTGTCTTTCAACATCTTCTGCTCTGTATTTAACAACCTCCAAGTTTTGCTAAGCTTGCAAAGTTCTCATTTGTTGGGATGTTAAATCTTTGCGAGAATACAAAAGGAAAAAAAAATCCAAACTAAAGTTCCATTATCTTTTTTTTAAGCTCCATTGTTAATCTTCCTGGCGAATCGACTCTCCGCCGTGAATTCTTGCGATTGCAACAGGAAAACAAGAACAGATCAGATCCTCAGAGACAGCAGCAATTACAGAAGCTAAAAGACCAGGAGAAATACAAAAAACAGCTCTTGGCCGAGCGCCAGAAAAGGATCGAGCAACAGAAGGAGCAGCGAAAAAAGCTGGAGGATGTAGGCATTCAGCATCTCTTCTTTGTACAGCATGCCACGTCACTGGATTGTCACCTTTGCACTAAGGGCCTAAATACATTTGTGTGTGCTTGTAGTGTCGTAGTAATGTGCACACATATGTTTCAATGGGCCTGTAACTGCAACTCATATATGCAACCGAATGGGGAAAAATTGGGATTTCTACTTAAGATGTGTTTCATGCATTCATGTGCCTTACTGCAAGAAATCTGACAGTTATGAAAAGTCTCCCAAGACAAACCAGAGTCTGCAAAACTTTACTAACAGGTCTGCACAGTATTAGGACCTATTCAAACAATGGGGTATTTAATTATATCTGTTGCAACTAATGCATCCTGCTGTCCAAAGAAACAGAATTATAAAATATAAAAGCTCCATTAAGTCAATATGTACATTCACTGAAAAAACTGAACAGTAAAAAAAATGATGTACATTAATCATGATCATTGCCGAAACATTAGGCTGACATTTCCCATTTCAAATCACGCTGATACTAGGGGGCTGGTTGTACTGCATAAGAAGGAGGAAGTCTCAACAAAATATGTAGGCCCCATTTTTACTTAAAGGAGAACTATGGGGTCAGTGTTTTTCCCCATAGTTCTCCTTAGGGTAACGGGAGGACACAAACTAGCGTCCTCCCGTTACCCAAAGCTCAGTATACCGCGAGCTACAGCTCGCGGTATATTGAGACGCGGCAGCCGGAGCGGATCCCGATGTAGATGACGGGATCCGCCCAGCTGCGTGAGTGACCGCTGGCTCTGCCTATCTAGAGGCAGAGCCAGCTGTACCCGCCCCCTCCCCGTCCGTTCCGCCAGTCAGCGCTGGCAGATCGGAGAGGGGAATCCAGCCCCTCCCCCTGTCACGGCAGAGAGCCGTGACAGGATCGAGAGGTGAGCGAACCCGGTATGTGTTCGCTCACCTCCCGATCTACTGAGCC